CCCCTCGCACCCCCGACACCTCCCCAGCCCCCAGCCCTGACTCCTGCATCCCCCCTCACACACACCCAGCCCCTGCCCTGAAACCTGCACCCCCTTCACACACACCCAGCCCCCAGGCCTGACTCCTGCACACCCCCACATCCCCACCCCCATCCTGAGAACCAAACAGGAGCTGCCCCAGGTAATCACTCCACACCCCAACCTCCTGCCCCAACCCTGAGCCCCCTCCCTCGCCCTAGCTCCTGGCCAGACCCCGCACCCGAACATTTTTTTACAATATTTGGAAAGATAAGTGGTCCATCGAGACCCTCCATGATTTTCAAGTGGTCTGTGGAAAAATAAGTTAGACGACAAGAACAATCAAGGTACGTCACTTTATTTTCATTTACTTGCTATTACTTATGGGAGGAGGATGAATTAAAAAAGAATGAAAAACGGGGGCAGGTGGAGATAAGAGAGAATGTTCTTGGGAGGGGCCCCAAAAATAAAGCTGAGCACAGGGCCGGGGGGCCCCACTAACTCTAAATCCACCACTGGCTGTCACGTCACCTGGGCTGGGGATACCGTCAGGGCTGGTGTATCTGCTAGGCAAACTAGGCGGCCACCTAGAGCGCCAAGATTTGGGGGTGCCAAAAAGCGGTGCCTCAAATTTTTTTTTTACACTACAGTGGAGTCACATCTTACACGGGGGCTAGGTTCTAAAGTCACCGCGTAAGAGGAAAATCACATATAGTGAAAATTACCATAAAGTACAGTATACACTAGAACAGGGGTCCTCAACCTACGGCACGCATGCCAAAGGTGGGACGAGGTTTTTTTTTTAATGGCAGGCTGCGGGTCCCGGCCGCCGCTGAGCCTGCTGCCGACCTGGGGTTCTGTTCACTCAGCCGGCAGCGGGCTGAGCAGGGCCGACTCCTGCCAGCCGGAGTCCCAGTCCCGCTCTGCCCGCTGGGGTCCCAGCCAGCTCCACTCAGCCTCCTGCCAGCCTGGGTGAACGGCCTGGGGTTCCGTTCACCCAGGATTCCGTCCGCCAGCCTGGGGTTCCGTTCACCCAGGATTCCGTCCGCCAGCCTGGGGTTCCGTTCACCCAGGATTCCGTCCGCCGGCCTGGGGTTCCGTTCACCCAGGATTCCATCCGCCGGCCTGGGGTTCCGTTCACCCAGGATTCCGTCCGCCGGCCTGGGGTTCCGTTCACCCAGGATTCTGTCCGCCGGCCTGGGGTTCCGTTCACCCAGGATTCTGTCCGCCGGCCTGGGGTTCCGTTCACCCAGGCCGGCAGGAGGCTGAGCGGGGCTGGTGGCTGGGACCCTGGGTGGCAGGAGCCAGCGGACGGAACCCCAGGCCGGCAACAGGCTCAGCGATGGCCGGGACCCGCAGGCTGCCGTTAAAAAAAAAATCAGCTGGCGTGCCACCTTTGGCGTGTGTGCCGTAGGTTGAGGACCCCTGTTCTAGTGTACACTGTGTGTACTGTAGTTTATGGTAATTTTCACTATACGCAATTTTCCTCTTACGCGCTGACCTTAGAACCTAACCCCCGCGTAAGATGTGACTCCACTGTATTCACTTTTGAAAATGTATAATAAGCGATGCTCCGGAGGGCAGGGGGTAAAAGGTGGAAGTTTTGCCTAGGGTGCAAAATATCCTTGCACTGGCCCTGGATACTGTGTCAGCTGATCCCCACAGTCTCCAACCTACCTGGGCAGAACAGCAGACATGGCCCTGCCCACTAGCTCCTCTCCACTCCCTAGCCCACCCACCACTTGCCCCCCCTTAAAGCTTGGCCCTCTTACTTTTAAAAAATGATTGCTTGCCCCTCTCCCCCCTCTCAGGCTTTTCTGGCAGCCCTGTTGCCAGGTATCCAGTTTTAGACTGGAAACTCCAGTAGAAAATGGGACCTGATCGTCCGGTTAGCAGTGCTGACTGGGAACTAAATGGCTGGTTGTAGGAGTAACCACGTTAGCCTCCGTTCCTCCCACTGCCAACACCCACCCCAGAGGGCTGGAAGAGAACCTGTCCTGCTGCTGCGGGAGGAGGGGCAGCTCAGTGCAGAGACAGAATGGGCTAGAACCAGGTAGGTACCTGCTCTATGTGGGCAGGGGCGGGGGGGGGGATCCTGTTTACTCCCCTCCCCAGCCCTGCTGTGCTTGCAGTTTATCCTTGACACCTCCCTTGCTCCAGAGACCAACCCTAGCTCCCGCCCCACTGTGCCTGGCCCCTTTTACAATTATTCCCCAGGGGAGCCCACAAATATGTTTGGCACCAGGCCCACAAAAAGTTAATCCTGCCCTGGTTCCTAGGGGTGTGTCGGGGACCAGAGATATCGGCGAGTGTCAGTCGGTTGCACAATCCAAGCAGCGGCTGCCCAAAGTGCTCACTCCCGGAGCTGGGAGCAGCTCACACGCCAGAGGCTGTGGGGGAACAGCCCGGGAGTGGGGGTCTAGGGTGACCAGATCACCCAAGTCAAATATCGGGACGTGAGGGGGGGGGGGAAACCCCGACCCTTCCTCCACAAGCGCTGGAGGGAGGCCCGGGAGACGCAGGGGAAGTGCGGGGCCAGGGTGAGTGAGAGTCCGGCCCTGCTCCGAGCAGGCAGGACTCAGTCGGGTGGTAGGGAGAGGAGGGGGGCGGCCTGCGGGGCCAGGCGGTGGCTGTTCTCCCCCCTGGGCAGCGGGACTCGGGAGCAGCCGCTGCTGCAGCTCCCACTGCCGCGGGGGGAGGAAGCGGCTGATGGCCAAGCTCGGCGGCTGCAGCTCTGGCGCCCCCGAACCCGGGCCTGCTG